AACCCCCTCCCCCCCGCAGCCTGACACCACATTTCATCCCCCCATCCTGCAACCTAAGCCCCAACCCCCCAAAAATGCTAGAAATTACATACACAAATTATCCTTGCATTCTGGGGTGGGAGGGGGCGTGGCAGTGCCATTCATGTCAGTTGAATTCCAGATGCACTCCCTGCCCGCAAACGATAATGCATGCACAATTTTTTGTAATTGCACCACACTTGAATGCAGGGCATTGTGTTACCATGCATTCTGGTGCAGCTGATGACATGAATTGTGCATGCACTAATTTTTGCGGGTAGGGTGTGTGTCTGAAATTCGAATGACATGAATGGCACTGCCACGCCCCCTCCCACCCCAGAACGCAAGGAGACTTTGTGTATGCGATTCCTTGCATTCCGGGCAAGGGTGTAAACGAGCCTTTAGGCCCCATTCACACTGAGCGACGAGCGATATTGAGAGATATTGAGCGACTTGCGATATTGAGCGACTTTTTCCTATTGGGCTGTATGCAATCAGGCGCAAAATCGCTCGAAAAAAGGATCATGTAGGAGCTACAAGCTACCAGCGACGAGCTACAAGCGATATTGAGCGACGAGATGTGAACAGCTCCATTGAAATGGATTGGAGAAGCTACATAGAGCGATATCGCGTGGAAATATGAGCAATATCGCTGCAAAAATCGCTCGATAAATCGCTCAGTGTGAATGAGGCCTTAGGATTACAGCAGTCAGAGGAGCCACTGTCTACATACAAGACAATTACAGCAATGTATGTGCAGGTTTAAGTGTTTTAGGGCTTATTCACACAAATTACAGTGCGTTCCAGAGGGGTAGCTGCTGGAACACACTATATCGCACACTTAACCCCCCCTGCGTTCTGGGGCGTGGTGGTGCATTGAAGACAATGGCACCGTAGCCACATCACTGGCCGCTGACAGGTGGGCCGCCGGCACGCTCCCCTCACCCTCCACATCGCTATGCCCGGGCAGCCACTGTGTGCGCTCCTATCTCGGGACCCGGCCGGGAAGCTTGCAGTCTTGCTCCTGACCGGGCCCCATAGCGCCCGCATGGGTCGCTATGGCGGTAGTCCCGCCACTGGGGGAGGCCAATTAACTTCAATAGCATGTGATTGGGTTGTCAGAGAGCTAGAGCACCCACGCAATTGGGGAAGAAAATACAAGGGTATATAAGAACCACAATAGTGCATGTGAAGACCGCCAACTCTTTAGCTATTATTCCACCCATTTATCATTTTTGTTGGGTAAGGCCGCCAGACACTGTTAGAATGTCAACTGATTCACAGGAATTGGCCAAAATTCTTAGAGTGTGTGTGTGTGTGTGTGTGTGTGTCCCTGCAGCTCAACAAACGACGATTACTTGACTATTGTCAAAGAAGCCAGGACGAAAGTCTACCCCAATCCTCTGCCATCCATACAAGTTAATGTAAAAGGAAATATGCAAGTTAAAAGCAAACTAAACAAAGGTGCATGCCATTCTTCTTTAACCTGAAAGCATGCTGTATTTGATCTGTGTCTACGTCTTGTGCCCATGTACACAAGCTCTTAACGATTCTTATGAAACAGACAAGAGAAACCCTTCCTGAATATTAAATAGCCTAGACTAGTTTCATTGCTAAAATCAGTGTTTTCCAGGTCTACGACTATACAGTATTTTATATAAGTGTATGTATCTTTGTATTTCAATGAACTGTGTGATGTCAGATGCTCTAATTTAACTAGTCTTTCTACACAGAAACTCACTGCTTACCTTGATCTCAGCCTGAACAAGTGCTATGTTATCCCTCTGAACACATCAATTGTAATGCCACCAAAGAATTTCATGGAACTGCTCATCAACATTAAGGTATGTCATAGTAGGTTTTGGTGACCGTGAGTAAATGAAAGCTAATTAAACATAATTCTGTAATGAATCCAGAGTATTGATCAAAGTTACCTTTAATAGCTAGAGCTGTTTTGCTCCAGGCAGGTAGAAGCAAGCTCATGATATCGCGTAATGCCAGTATAGCTTACTAAAAAGTCTATCACTCTCGGACACCCATTTTTTTATCGAAGCCCGTGGACGTGCATCAAACTTCCCCCTGTGAACAAAAAAAGTGAACCGTGAAATAAATCACAGCACACAAAAACGTGCACAAGGGTTCCTTCGAAAGAAGGGACCTACTTTCCCGACCCCCCCCCCACCCCCCCCCGGGGCGCAGGCTCCTGACAGGGGTTGAGACTGTTGGCCCACCAACCCGAAGGCCGGTGGACCATTTCCTTCGGGGACCTGCGAAACAGGTCCCTCACAGTACTAGGCAGGGGGGATCTCCAGAAGAGAAACCCCCCTCCTGGGTGGGAGGAGACAGAGAACCCCATAGGGGGCACAGAATCTCCTCCCAGCATCAGGAATAGGCCCCGAAGAAACCTGCACCTTCAGCAATCTGTGGGTCAAATAGTAAAATTAAAAAGTGCCAATCGTGCATGGAGTGCTTAAATAAATCTAAAGTGCCAGTGCACCACTCTGACAGGCCTTAGGGGCCGGAGTGCAAAAATATTGCCCCAGACTAGCCATAAGGCCTGTCTTGGAGGCGAAGTGCAGAAAATTGCAATGTGGTGTGTGACCAAGTGCACAGTGAGTCATGTGGGGTCCCATACCCAAGTGACTTTCTGCGCACCCCTGGGACGCCACCCCCAGGGGGCACAACACCACGGGCTTCTGCCGCCCCCGAACCCTCGAGCCTCGACCAAGGTTCGCATCCGTTCAGTCAGTAGGCAGTAGTGCCGAGGAAACTCTCCCTGCTGCTAGGGAGTCGCCTCAAGCACCTACCTTCACTCCTGAAGGTACTAAGCAACTGTCCGTCCCAAGGACAGTCCATGCTTTTCCCCTCTAGAACTGATAAGAACAGATACTACACTTGATCTTAGCCAAAAGGCCGAGAAGCGATCACTCTCGGACACGCATGAAACCCCTGAACAAATTGGTGCCTGCAGTATGCACCTTATGATTTCACTGGAAAACGTACTCCACTACAATGAGCTATCTCAGTAGCTTATTGAGACCTGAATTGTATGTGGGATGTGCAAAGGACCTACTCTTGCAGACCTCTTTCTAAAAATGCTAGCTGCATGGTTTGTTTTCAAAATGAGTCACTGACCTGGAATAGGTATGCATATCAGAAACATTAGGCTGGCCATACACTATGAGATTTTCAGCTGGTTCTTCATAAACTGGCTGAAATTCACACAGTGCATGTACCCTTCCAGCCGGCTGGAATCAAAGGACATTGAAGGAGCTGGCAGACGCTGTGAGAATACAATGAAAGCGACAGAGGTTTCCTCCATTGATACTTACAAAATCTGTTCGGGTTTTTTTGTTCTGCCTGCAGGTTGAACAAAAAAAAATAGAACAGTGTATGGAAATATTTAGATTTATGATGTCTTTATCTTTTGAAGCAAGAGGGCCAGTATTTTCTGAAGAGGTCGATAATATCAACCTTGTGTCTTCAAGGGCAAGCTTTACATTTTAGTACATTTCACAACCCTTTCCAAAATCTATGTTTATGTGGTGTACCTCATCAGATGAGTGTACAGAAGGAAACTGTAGAGGATATTGTATAATTTGCATGACATGTTTTGAGCAGCTTCGGAAGACAGTATCAGTATTCCGGATCTAACACACTTCTAAACGGTCTCTTTCCAATTATAGGCTGGAACATACCTTCCTCAGTCTTACTTAATTCATGAACAGATGGTGGTCACAGATCGCATTGAGAATGTAGACCAGCTGGGTGTCTTTATTCGCCGCCTCTGCCAGGACAAGGAGACCTACAAACTTCAGCGCAGAGAGCCAGTTCGAGGTAAATTTGTAACCCAGCTTTGTGTCAGGATGTGTGTAAAACAGTGGGGCTCTGTGATAAAAGATTATATTTGAACTTATTCAATGTATATACTAATGTACATACTGTATAATGTATATCCTGCAATATACTGTGCAAATATATAGGGGGGAATTTAGCGTAGCAATTGCGAGTGTTTGAACTTGCACGGAATATATTTAATGCACTTTGCGCAGATTATGAAGCTAGTGTAATGTTTTTCATGAATGAGGTTTAATAGACTCCAGGAAAAAAGACTTGTAACTTCAGGCAAAAAGCTTAACTGTCGCTTCTTGAAGAAGTGGTCATGGGGACTTCTTAAGTTGTGATTGTTTTGTTAGGTGATGCTCCAGTTTCAGACAGCCCAGAACAAGTGCAGATGAAAACACGTGCAATTGGGGAAAGTAGTGCAAGCTCAGGTCAAAACGGGTGCAATTGGGAAAGTAGTGCAAGCTCAGGTCAAAATACATGCAATTGGGAAAGTAGTGCAAGCTCAGGTCAAAACACATGCAATTGGGAAAGTAGTGCAAGCTCAGGTCAAAACAGGTGCACATGTTAAAAGACAGATTTGCACATAAAAAAATTGATCCAAGAGGCTAAAACTGTCGCAATTGCTTTGATAAATCCCCCCTCAGTATATTGCAGTGTACACATTGCCCTTGTCCTTTCGTAAGTTAAAGCTGAACTCCTGGGAAAAAAATCATTTTTTTTTTTCAGCGGCAGCTCATCATGCAAGTTGCTGCCAACTCCTCCCCCACAGTGCATTTGTTCCAGTGCTGGGATTTACAGTTCCAGGAATAGGTCACTGATGATAGCAGGGCTCTCGCTCTCTACCTTTCCCATCCATGAAAAGTATTGTATTATTTTCACAGAATCAAGGTGTTCTATGATTGGCTGAGGTGGAGATTGTGATGTTCATCCACACCTCCCCTCATCCAATCGCAGTACATCTCGAATTCTATGAAAAGAATACTAAACTTTATGGATGGGCAAGGTGGCGAATGAGTGTCCTGCTATGATCCGTGTATTATCATGGGAACTGTAAATCTCAGCAATGGAACAAGAGCGCTATAGGGAGGAGCCAACAGCAATGAAGATAGGATTTTTACAGCCATCATCCAAATGCTCATCTTTGGCGTTCACTTGTGACTAGAGCTGCTGTGCTAAAATAAAAATTAAATAATTAAAAATGTTTTTATTTTATTTTTATTCATTCCTAGAGTCAAAATAATATGCAATGGAATCTGGGGTTTGTGTGTCTGAGGGGACAGTTTAAATGGAAATGCCTTATCTGCTTCAACCCTCTGCACAGTAAAGCTAAAAAAAATATCTATGTGAACCCAATCAGCCTTTGAGGCTGAACCGAATTTTAAAAAAAGGGAAGATTCCTCTATTCACGCAAACAGTATGGATGAACAAATCTCCTGCAAAACGTTTCTTCTGTAAAACATGAAACTGAAGTAGAGTGCCAATAAAACAAATGTATTACAGCATGGTTGTGGAGGTTTATATTCTGGATTTATTCATACAGACAAAAAGCCTGCAGCCTACCCATCCAATGAAATGATAGCATGGTAATACAACCTACAAATCTGCCACACTGACATTTTTTTTTATTAGTATTGTATAGTGCCGACAGTTTATGCAGCGATTTTTCATAGTGCACATTCACATCAAAACAGCCTACAATCTAAGGTCCCTATCTCACATGCATACATATGTATTTAGACACCCAGAGGAAACCCATGCAAGCACAGGGAGGACATGCAAACTCCATGCAGATAGTGTCCTTACTGGAATTTGGACCAGGCACCCCCAACGCTACAAGGCAGTAGTGCTAATCACTAAGCCACTGACACACTGCAGTTTACCCATTCATAAAATGAGGCTGTTGTGTGTAGCCTGCAAAGCCTTTACGATTTCTCTCTACTCAGTAAATCAGAGAGTGCTCCTTCATTGGAGGAGAGCTGTTAATATGATTTTTGACAAGTCATCGCTGTGCTTAAACAAATATGCAGTCATACCACTGCTTTTTAAAAGACAACGATGACCCAACCGTTTTTCTCTTTAGGGTCACATTTACTAATGTCCTCCTGTGACCCAAACAATATTGTTAGGCTCCACTCCGCTGGCTGATTGACAGCTGGATGTGCCTCTCGACGCAGAGCCAGCTGTGCCCACCCTCTCCCCAATCTGTCCCTGTCAGGGCTGGAAGAATGGAAAGGGGGGGGGGTGAATCCCTGCGGGGACTATTGGTCTCCGCTCTCTGCAGAGAGAAGATTGGGAACTCGGCGATTGTTGGTATGTGATCCCTCAGTTATTGTTCTATAGAGCCGATGTGTTGCAGCTGCAGAGTCCTTTTTTTCTTAAAATAATGATTTTAAGGCTTGCTTGTCTTTTTAAAGCTATGCTAGACTAACCTCCTCCTGAAAACTGTTAGTTTCTCGGTTCGTCTCTTCAGTATCATTCAGGAAGCATACAGCAGGTGCGATCAGAACTCCCGATCCAGTACTTTTTGCAGTTCAGTGACTCAGAATGCATTGAAGACATAGAATCAGCCTGACTGATGGACAATTCATTTTTTTCAAAGCAGATCAGCATTGAGCCATTAAATATATTTATAGCGTCAGTCCAATCAGAACTGTAGTTTGAAACCAAAATATTGAACCTGAAAGCTCTTCAAAACAATTCTAATCATGCTTTTATCTCTTTACAGGGAGACAGAAACGGGATCTTGAAGGATGCACAAATATTATTCACTTTGAAAGCCGATATGCGGTGAAAACATCAATTTGCCACTAAGTCATACGGATACCTTGACAGTCATTTATCAACAGTATATACCTGCCCTTTTGTCGTGTGTAGTTATTACTTTAAGGGAAGGTTTTGTTATTAGTGGCCAGACCTTTGCACAGCATATTCACTTTCATCTCATTTGATTTTCATCAGCAACATTTGTTTAATTTTTCCCTCTTCCTTCAACTACTAAGTGTGGTATTTTATATTGAAATATATGGAAATGGTCATTTAAATAAGAGATGTTAGACAAACTTTCATTCCTGCTGATTTTAGTGTAAGACTTTTTAAAACTTTTTACATAGATATGTCAATGCATTTACTATATATGCCGCACTGTTATCCCATAACACCGCTTAAACAAGCTTCACAAACTATATGCATTCGTTTGCGTCGGAAAGCCGGTTTATAATGCATGTTCATTCACCTGAAATAGTCCCCCTTCCTGCCACTAGAAATGTATGTATACATATTTTCTGACAAGCTCAGGACTAAATAAAGTCACCCTTAGTAATATGGCTAAAGACTATAAAAACAAAAAAGTATGAAAGGCTTTGGTAACGAGCAGCACTTCCACTGTTGATGACCCCCAACTCCTGGCTGGAAATGCTTTCTGTAATTTGAATTTTAAAGCCGAGTTTTTCAGCTCTGTAAAATGTTTAATCATAAGAACTGTCTAGAGCAGGCATGACAAGGTGTTGGCTTATCGCCTTCTTTAACTAAACCAAATTCCTTTTATGTGCTTCTCTGACCCTATTGTCACCTTAACTTCCATGACATCTAGGCTAAGCTCCATCACCAGTTCTTCCCTGTTCAATGGGAACAGCTCAGTGACCAAAAGAGCACACTCATCAGAATAGGGGAGAGCGAGTGGTGAGTAGCCCAGAAATCATAGAAGTAGAGTGGGATCAGTGGGGCACACACAAAAGGCTGGCTAATCTAGTAGTAGCACCTTGTGGGTACTCTTATGCAGAATTCTTACTTTTAAAAGTTTAAAATGACTGATAAAGTTCACTTTAACAGGGTGCCTCCTTCTGTTTTTCAAGTTTATTTTGACTATTTTGATTATTTGAGGCCTTATGTATCAAAGCATTTGAAGGAAGAACTGCTGTTTTAATGCCTGCAGAATGTACTTTTTATGGAAGAATGGAAGGGTGAGCTTGGTTGCTGTGAGAAACAGCAGTTCTTCGTACACTAAAACAGACATAACTGAAGTTATCAAAGAACCCGAAAGAACGGTTTTTAGCTTTCTAGAGAAAAAAAGAATTGGCAGCAGATTGGTGACACTCAGCAACACAGTTTGACTTTCAAGCACTTTGATTATTGAGGCCCATTGTGGCTGGGCAGGACTGTGAGGGGAAAATATACAAGGAGAACGTAGTTGTGGTGGTCCTTCAAGGGCCAATCAGAGTATGATGGAGAATAGCCAGTAAAACACATATGAATAGAGTTTAAAACAAGGCACTTATCAAGTAAGAGAATTCACAAAAATCATGTGTTCTCTGCTGTATGTACATTTGAACATAGAAAAGATGAGCTCCGCTGTCATGTGACTTACTCAACAGCTGGATTCTCAAATTAACAGAGGCAGCTTAAACCTTCTGTGAGCTGACTATATTGTATGGCTGAATGGATACTGCTCAGTACAGCCTTGCAGAATGTATCTTTTCTCATAGAGTTCTTTTAACCCCTGTGTTGTGCAGAGCGCATCGAAGGGAACACATTGAACAACCTGCTTGTTGTACAGAACAGAGGCGATTCACATGTGAGGACTCAGAACTGGAACTATTTAATTAGAATCTCGTATAGCCAGTAAAGGGAATGAGATATGGGATCCATGAAGCTTAAATGTTAAGTTTTTGCTGAAAATGCCATTGTATGTAAATATTTAGGACACTCTCTGTGCATATAGGCACACAAATACTTATTGGAGCATTTGTGTACATACATATAGACATACATGCTTTATGGAAAATATTATTATGGTCTTCGCATTTGCATAAAACCTTTTGAAGATGTGTCTTTGTGTTGGTAAGTAACCTGACCTCCAGCTCTATTCCATTGGAAAACCTTTGCAGGTGTGTATTTCCAACTACTAAGAAAATGCATTTTTTTTTTTTTCTGTGTGTTTTTTGTTTTTAAGCTTTTCTTAAATCTGTTTTTAACTGGTTGATGTTTTGGTATGCCCTCTTTAATTTTAAAACCAGGAGTGTCAATAAAAGCATTAGATGGTAACACGTGTTACTAATTTGTATATAATCGTACTTGTAAAGGAATAAAACTTATACCACCTGTTTAACTGCTAGTCTTGTGCTTTTATTTGTTTTCATTGAGCATTGCTGGGACATAGGGGTGGCCCCAGGCACAGCTTTTTATGCGGTAGTAGGGGTGCTGCAGGGCGAGCTGGGCCCTCCTCACCACACACAGATCTGTCTCCCCTTACCAGTCCCCAGCAGTCTGGACTTGCCCCGTTTCCTATCCTCTACATGCCAACTTCAGCCAGTGTGTGCGACCTGAGCATAACTATACACTGTAAGTCAATTCACTGAAACGAACGCTGGGTGGGTGTATGCATGTGTGGAAGTCTGTGGGTATGCGTGTAGTTGTGTGCGTCTTACACCTGATCCCTGCAGGCGGGAATGACTGCCTCCGACGCCGGGCCCAGCCTCCTCCGACAGCCGGGCCCAGCTGCCAACAGCCGGGCCCAGCCTCCTCCTCAGCTGCTGGCTATCACTGACTCAGCAGCGGCTGTGAGGAGGAACATGCCACTGCACAGACCACTGACAGCTTGTCAGTGATCTGGACAGCGGCGCATTCCTCCTCACAGCCGGCAGTGACAGCCAGCAGCCTGCGATGCCAAGCGGCCCGCACAGCATCAGGGGGACCCCTTTGTTCCTCGGCCGGGCCCCACTGTGCCCCGGGTCCCATAATGGACCCATGGGTCGTTATGGCAATAGTTCCGCCACTGGTTGATATCATCTCCCTATCCCTAATAGTTTCCTCATATGAAAACCCTTCATGTAAAAGTTTGCCTATCACTGCCAGGAGCACTTAAAACCCCCTGAATGGAGGTTTTGGCATGTACAACTTTACATAATAACTTTTGCTTTGCATACCATACAACACAAGACCTTTAGTTGATCATTTGTTTTTACAAACGGCCTGAATATGTTTGTTATAACAAGCAGAGAAATGTACAAAAAGTAAAAATATTCCAAATATTTTCACTGAATTATTTGTCCCTATTTACAGGGATGCCAGATAGAAGGCAGGGGGGAATTTATCAAAGCAAATGCGACCGGTTTAGCCTCTTAAATCATTTTTTGTTTATGTGCAAATCTGTCTTTTAACATGTGCTCCTGTTTTCACCTGAACTTACACTACTTTTACAACTGCATGTGTTTTGCACATGTTTTCATCTGCACTTGTTCTGGGCTGTCTGAAACTGGAGCATCACCTAAGGAAACAATCGCAACTTAAGAAGTCCCCATGACCACTTCTTCAAGAAGCGACAGTTAAGCTTTTTGCCTGAAGTTACAAGTCTTTTTTCCTGGAGTCTATTAAACCTCATTTATGAGAAACATTACACTAGCTTCATAATCTGCGCAAAGTGCATTAAATATATTCCGTGCAAGTTCAAACACTCGCAATTGCTACGCTAAATTCCCCCCTATATATATTTGCACAGTATATTGCAGTATATACATTATTCAGTATGTCCATTAGTATATACATTGAATAAGTTCAAATATAATCCTTTTATCACAGAGCCCCACTGTTTTATACACATCCTGACACAAAGCTGGAAACAATCACAACTTAAGAAGTCCCCGTGACCACTTCTTCAAGGAGCGACAGTTAAGCTTTTTGCCTGGAGTTACAAGTCTTCTTTCCTGGAGTCTATTAAACCTCATTCATGAACAATATTACACTAGCAACATAAATCTGGCGCAATGTTAGCGCAACTCCTTATCAAACCCCAAAATGTAGTGCAAAATGTACTTGGTGACATTAAAGTCAAATTTTTTTTTGTTAATGTCAGCACTTACCTTAAATGATGTCTCTTAATCCGATCTCCCTATTCTTTCCTGTCCTTTTCAGCCTTCTCTCCAGCGCTGCAGCGGGTGTCTGATCCAAGGCTGACTCCTCTGTCCTTGCTGGCACTTCCGATCCCACGGTGTCTGCATGCCGCTGCACACATCCATAGACTTACCTTGCTTCCCTCCTTGTCTCCCGGCCGAAAATCCGAACTGTGCATGCGCCCGCACCAAGATGCTTTGCGGCCGCCCGAGCAGTTTCTGATTTTCGGGCGGGCGCGCGGGGCGTAAGTTTAAACCGCTGTTAAAGGTTTTGGTTTGTTTTTTAAACTTTTTGCATATATCTACTGCTTGCTAGCAGTAGATAAATGCAAAAAAACCCCCGAGGGTTTCGAAACCCTTTAAATGCCCCAAAACACAATTAAATACGCATGTTTTCAATAAAATATAAACGATGAGGTTACAACGAGTAAATGAATACCCAACATGCCCAGGTTAAAAATTGTGTGCGTCCATGAAACGGCGACAAACTTCAGTACCCCAAAAAGTCCATTGACAACGCTTTAAAAGCCCCCACAGGTCATCAATTTAGATATATCCAAAAATACTGGCCCTAGAATTATTGCTCTCACTCCGGCGTGCACGGCGATACCCAACATGTGTAGCGTGTTCGTCGTTTTTATACATAGGCGCACCCGACTCGTGTTTACGTGACGAAATGCGTGCTCGTGGGGGACTTTATACAAAAAAAAAAAATTTTTTAATTGTTGATTTTAAAAACTAGTTTTTACTTTAATTGCCATCACAGAGAGGGCTTACAAGCCCCCCATGTGATAGCAGATGGTGTTGACAGGTACTCTTTTAAGGTGATGCTGAGGGTCCAAAAGACCCCCAGTGTCACCTTACACTCCAAATAAGCTATTGAAGTGCAGATCGCACTTCAATAGCTTATAGTTAACTTGAAGGGGATATTCCGTGCAATTGCTATGATAAATTCCCCCCACTGTACGTAGGTAACCACCTCTATGATTAAAGGAGAACTATGGGGTTAGATAATGAGAGTGCAATAATGTGTGTTAACTTGCATTGCATGAAAGCAGCTGGTTCATTTGAATGGGCTGCCCAATGCACCGAAAAGCACCAAAAAAATCTTATGCACAATTTATATCAATGCAGCATTCACAAAGCACAGTGGTGCATAACAATAATGAGTGTTACCGCAATGCAACAGAATGAATCCTACCATGTCATTATACAAAGTTGTGATTGTCTTCCACTATAGGGGAAATTTTCCATTCCAGACCTATACAGCGAAAGTAACCTGACGTATGGGCTAACCTTCACTGCTCTTTTCTATTACCCTCCCCATTTTGGTGTCATCCGCAAACACGGAAATATCGCTGTTAACACCCTCCC